CAGCTATGAGCAGGGTGAAACGTCATCTGTACCTGCACAACTGGCTGTGGGCACAATGCCATTCATGCATACATGTATTATAAATGCATATTACATATGCTTTTAAGCATATGTGCAGGATATATACACACACATCTTCAACACTTAAATTTCCAAAGCAAGTTTGAATTTTCCACGTTAAAACTTTACAAGGGAACGGGTTGCTTTGTAACTACCTCCCTCCTCAACCCCCCCAAATCAGGTATCTTATTTCACCAGGCTAGAGCTTTAGAAATAGTCTGGAAAGACAGAACACGAACTACCATGCAATTTCACTTTGATCACATTTCTTCTGCTAGCAGCTTTGCTGGCATTGTTAGCAAGCAAACTGTCAGCACACAGTAAGGAAATATCAGTGCATGCCTGCGCAACATGCCGGGCCCACAAAGCACAGGCCTAGATCCTGCCCTCCACTACAGATGAAGTTCACAGGGGAAAGGGAATAAGGACTCTCTTCTTCCATCTGCCCTGAATGCAGCAGCAAGGCAGGATTCCAACCTAGCACTCAGGAGAGTGCCAAAAAAGGGACTGGCTACTGTGCTGGCTGCCACCCCAGGGCCCCGGGGGTGTGAGGCCCGCCAGCTGTGGGGTGGAGCCGTGCCCCCAGCCAGCTACAGCCTCTGCTTCTGTCTAGCCTGCTGGCTCAGCTCATGTAATGATCGTTTTAAGAAAAGCAATATTGTGCAGTTCATCATGCGGTGCAGGTGTTCACTTTCAACTATCCCTGCCCTGTGCTGGCAGAGCAGCTCCTGCAACGTGCACGGCCAGCACTTGCCTGTCTTCCCCACACCACAAAGCCTAGCACCTATAAGATCCTCAGGTTACCTAATTCTGAAAAAGGAAATGGTTAAGAAAGAAAAGCTCTTGCTTAAATACAGGGAGATCAGATTTTTAACTGACTTCTCTCCCATGCAAAGATGTGATACAATTCGACAGACTCGGTACCTCTGCCCAACCAAGACCAACCTCAGCAACTCGAACTTTGATGATGCAGAAAGGAACCTGGGGAAGAACCAAAGGTCTCTGCAGAAAAAAAACAAACCCCAGGACAGTCATAATCAGAAAAAAATTCAGCCCAAACAGGCTGCTGATCGTTCACTGTTCAGACAGGATAAATCCAGTTGGCAGCAGGGTATGATCTGTGAATCTAGTGGGAACAGACCCAGAAGTCGTCAGCACCGGGTGTCCACTGCGGATGTGGGGATGAAGATGTCCAACCCAGGTCAGAGCTCCGAGTGCTCCTACTGGCACCCCTGGGCAGAGGCTGCCAGTGCACTGAAGCTTATTAAGGAGCACTCAGATAATCAACCTGCCCCAGGAATGCAGGAGTGTATAGAGAAGGAGAGGTGTAAATTCCAGCTGCAGGGAATAACAAACTGCTGGGGCAAGAATTTCTTCAGCTGTTCCCCAAGACACTGTGGAACCACAAGTGTTTGACCTTGGTAAATTTGGACAGGGTAGGACTGTCATACCCTTGAAGACCCAATTTCACCAAGATGCCGTGTTGAACTTGTTGAACTATCTCTCTAGGATGAGAGATAGATGGAGATGGGGATTTTAACTGGCAAAATGCATTTTTTCCTCCTAGGAGAGGAAAGAGAAAGCAGTTTCATTCCCCAAAAAATAAATTCCCCAGGTTTAAACAACACTAGGGGTGTGATTTTTTTTTTTTTGTCTGGACATACATATTTGAGGGGGTTCTAATAAACAGGCCATTTCCTCTGACTTTAATTCAAAGGCACTAGCGATCTCCGCTTTTTAAAACTCAAGAATTTGTTTGGTTTGCTATAGTGCAATAAAACTTCAGGCAGGAGAATCTACTGTTCAGTCCTTTTAAAATAGTTCATAAAAGTGTATTAAAGGACTACAAACTGAGTTACAGACTACCAAACAGTATTTTGACCTCTCCTAACATCCCCCATAGTAGAATCTCACTGCTGCCAAAAACGCACTGATTATTCTCCAAACAATCCCACCCAGAAGAGGAAACAAGCACATAGAAAAATTAAGAGACCTGTCTAGTATCACAAACCAAAATAGTGGCCCAGCTGATGATAAAACCTTGGTATCACAACTCCATTCTGGAGCTGAACTGAAAGGCTGAATTCAGCCTTTTTCCAGAGGTGTCACGCAACAAAGTTGTCCCAAATCCTAAAGCAAGATTCACACACTTAGACAGAAGAAAGGTTTAGCCATTTCACATTCTCTTTTCTCTGCTTTCATACTAGTTGCTAGTGACTTTGGACTTTACAGACAATGCAAACATTAATCCAATCAAAGTGAAGGAATGCAATTTACCCTTACAGGTGAAGCTATGTACAAACTACATTCACTTGGAGAGAGCTTATTCTTGCCACATTTTTGCAGCTAAGCTAGGACTACACTGGGCTTTTATTCCATTTGAAGCAACAGATCCCACATACATAACCACATTAGTTTTCATGTAATTCTTTGACCTGGAAGTAATCATAATTTTCCTCTGCAAAAGAGTGAGCTATAGCCAGTTGTAGGATCTGAATTTTTTTTACTGCTGGGTAACATCTTTTCTGCTTTTGTATGTCAAAATAAAATTGGAAAAAAATGTAAATGCTTCATTGAGCTACAAACAATGAAAAAAGGTGTTCTGCCTGCCATCAAACCCTGCTGTTAAAATATTAACACAATGTAAATATTGTAATATTGAGGAAGTACACTGTGTCAGTACTTCCTGGCACCGTACAAGAGCTTCACTGTTCACTTCAGTCCCTGCTGTTAGTTTTAAACACGCACAGCTTAAACAAGACATCTGAGCTTCTCCAGTCCTGGTGCGGAATTGCAGAGAGGCAAAATCTTACTGTAGGTTCTCTCTAGACTAAAAAAAAAAAAGTATTAAAAAGAATCCTGAAACCCAAACAATTATGTATATGTCAGTACTTTTGAGGCAAAAATATTCCACAGCGTCTTTAAAAGTCCTGGCATATTGCTGCCAAACATGGAAAGATCTTTGGGTATGCACTGTCCTCCCCTTCCTCAGAGAAGAAAAACAAGCTGCAAATACTCACCAGTGCCAGGAGCCTGAAAGCCCAAGTTATTCCTCATGGCACAAGTCCCGTTCCCCAGATTTGCCAGTTAAGCACATTACTTGCAATTGACTTTCTCTCAATTGACTGAATAAGCAGCATGTGTGTAATAAAGAGAATGAAGCAGCTACCTGCCATTAGTAAGCCAGATGTTGCTAAGCCAGGTCTTAAGAAATGCTGTCTAGCTGCCGTAATTATGTATTTGTTACAGAAGTGTCACAGAAAAGAAGCACAGCTTCATAAAAGGTGAAGACCGTGAATGACCTCTCTATAGAAAAACAAAAAAAATAACTAGTCATGTTTGCAGAAAGTCAGTAGACTTGTTCTAGAGGGACCTGGGGGCAACTGGAAGAGTTCAGAGCAGGATTTCATTCTGCTGGCTTTGGCGAATACGAAGTAAAATCCTGCCACTGACAAAGCCAAAGATCTCAGCAGTTTCAATGGAAATAGCATAAAGCCTTGAAATCTGAAGTTACCACTATCTAGGTTTAGAGGCCTCACGGTGTCATGCACTGTGGCATGTCTGACAAAGACCGTCCTTGTCCCACAGACCTAATGATCTAAATTCAAACCAGCATGAAATACCAGGGAAAAAGAACTGAATGTGTGAAATGTGTAATATTCCGGAAATATCTAATCCCAGCAAAACCAGGTGGCTAGGATTTCAAGAAATGAGTCCTACATGTTGTATTATGACAAAAGAAAGGCATAAACACTGCTTCGTGCTACCACAGGAAATACAAGAAGTCCAAACTGTCACCAACTTTCTGAAATACACTGAATAAATGGCTTATTCCAGATTTAAAGCATCTGCTGCTCCTGAAGCTTTTTCACCCGTCAGACATGTTCCCATACACAAATGGGAACTAAAATGACTTGTACAATGCCCCCATGTGCTAGTCAGAGTATCAGATAAGCTTTATTCTTATGCATGGTAAGAAATTGCCCTGGGGGTTAACACAGATTTTCCACTTAATTTTAAGTCACTCACAAAACCTTGTTCTGGAAGAGCTCCTTCTATCATGTATCCAACTGCATCACCAGATTTGTATATGGTCAAGACTACCAGAAATCCCCCAGCCCCGCAACGTTTTTTCACATGTCAGTTTATGAAAAGGACTATGAACACAACACTTAGCCCCTTTATCTTTCATCTTACTGAAAAGGGGAGAAAAACTCTTGAGAACTCAGTGAGCATTCAATCTATGTAGTGGGCATGAGAGCACTACAAAAAGGCTAGGAACAGGACATATTCCAAAACTGAACTACTTACTGTGAGGGGGGTTGTTCATTTGTTTGTTTTTAAAAGATAAACAGGGGGTTTTTTTGTCTGTTTCATGAAATATTATAGCTAAGATCCTTCTCCACTTCCATAAATGGATGTTTTTCTTACTCTCAGTGGGTGGTCTCAGAGTTTTGACAGAGGAACATCACAAGCTAAAAACATAGGATGCTACAGAGCTAGCCCACCTGCAGTGGTGGTAGATGTGAAGGGGGAGAGAAAAGGTGATTGCAAAGGCCAAAACAGACTGTGGTGGGGGAAATCAAAGGTCAGAAATGTATTCACAGCCCTAACAATGGGGGAGCCCTGGTGAAATGAGCAACCAAAAAGCACAGATACATGAGGAAAACAAGAGATGCAGAAAAAAGGCAAAAATTTTAGCTTTCACTTTATGCTGTTACTAGATTTTTTTTTTTCTAAAGAAGGTCTGAATAAGAAACTTGGACATAATGCTTGGCATTCATTTTAGCGTTGTTAGAGCATTCTGAAAAGTCATTTCATTTACATTTCTATTTTAGGCTAGCCCATTTAATGAAACAAATCTCCCTCTAAAAGCTCTGGTACAAACCATTTGTCAATGCAACACCTGCTACGATCTTGTGTATTGCTTGGTTTCTTACCTGTTTTCTACAAGGAAGTCTACCACATATTTCTTCAGACAGTAGAGGTGGGCATCCATCAGCCCTGTTCTGATGTGCATTCTTGGGTGCCTGGAAAATAAATTTAAAAAAAAGGAAAATCATCAGAGTTTTGCGTGGCCATTTACAAGCGCCTGACTTTGCAATTAAGTCAGTGGACAGTGAAAAGTTTGCAAAGGCCGATCTGTTCCTTTCCATCTATTGCTGGATTAACAGAGGAGAACAGTGCAGGCTGCCATTATTGGACTGTGTCTAGAAACTTACACCTGCTGGCCCTGGGCTGATTTGCTGTGAAAGAAAACACCTCCTCCAAGGAGTCATTACTCCTGCTACATCTTCTTATGTAAGTGGAAATTGCACATTACTGGGCAGGAAGCCAAAGTAATGGGCCCAGAGTGCTAAATGTTACAGTGGGTAATGTCAGGGTACAATAATTCAAAGCTTTTGGCTAAGTTCCTGCCTTAATATGCAAGGCTGTGCATGTTCTGCTAGCAAACACAACAACACTACTGTATTTTTTCCAACACTTCCTGGAGGGGAATAGGGGAAGGAGATGGGGTCTGCTCACCTCTCCTACACTACACATTACAAATGATTGCCACAGCTCAATTACAAAGCGTTTGCGTATACAGCCCAGTAAAATGGAAAAGATCAGTAACAGTTCCTCTCATCATTAGCCAAACAGTGGCAAACAGGGAAGTCTTTGCTTTCAGACCAGTGGCAGGTTAGTATTTCAGAAACTCAGAAATCTCCAATAGCTTCAATATTTTAAGAACAAAGTTTTAAATCAGAAAGGCTCATTGATTACTTCTATTACTTCTCTTAGTGGAAAATGGTTTTGGAACCTGTCTCAAAACAGCTAGACATTTTATGCCAATATTACTTTCCCTTCCACACACCTGTAGCCTTATTTAAGAGTATTCCGGCTGGCTGAGCACTCACCACTAGTTCTCAGGACAGAAAAGCCACAAAAATATTTAGCTTGCAAATTAAAAAAGACAACAAACAACAACAGTCAGGGACTAGACTGGGCTGGCAAAGAGAACTGCAATTGCACTCACAGTCCAGAGGCTATTAAGGGAGAAATTTCAATCCACACCTGAAATTGTCTCCATTTTCATTTTTCCTCCTTTGATGCCTGGATTTCATAATGAAGTTTGAAAGAACATATCTTACCAGTATATACCATCCAATCTTTGTGTGCTTATTCCAGAACACACTAAAGTCAGATGTTTGTAATCATGATCACTTTTATTATTTAGTTAGCTCAGCAGAGGGTTCACTCACAACTTGGGGATGTGTGGGTGTGTGTATAGTAAACCAATACTAGCACACTGAATATTTAATAACACCAAAACTACCAAGAATATCAGGTGTTCTAGCAAGCCATTTTTTCACTGTATTTCTCATCTAATGCATTGAATTACCAAAGTATTTAAGTCTTAAAATTTTATAATTTAGGTGACATTTCTCAAGCATGCCATTCAATTCAAGCTAAGCATATTATTAACTGTAATGAAATTCTTTAAGTCCCACTTCCAAAGAAAAGCTCCTAGAATAGTAGTAAGACACTTTGCAGTAAAGTATGTGGTACTAAAAAATGATATATGCACTTTCAGTAGATTACTTCATTAACAAAACATGAGCTCACCTAGCAATGCTCCAGTACTGATGTTATCAGTGGCCCAGATGTTACTGTGGAAGTCAGCCCAAATAGCAATGTTCCTTATGCAAAGAGGATAGGGAATCCACTAATTTTAATGAGGTCTTGCAGTTGGAAGTCAGCAGACTCCCTCCTGCTCTGCATCCTGCTATGCATTCCATATTTTGTGCATTTAGGAGAGGGAGAATTTTCCTATCTTCTCTGAGAAAAAGAAATTTTATTTATATAATGAATACAATTCATTGTATTCATTGAAACAAGTGAAAGAGACAAATTGAAACAAGTGAAAGAGACAAGTGGGAAGAAGTGGAGCAGGGAGAAAAACTGGGAAAATGAACAAAACAATGGAACAAGGTAAAAAAAAAGAAATGGACGCAACATGGGAAGGACAGGGAAAAGTAGGAGGAAAAAACCCAATTCTTGAATACGACAAACAGGACAAGTTTCTTTAGTGCCAGAATGCCAGATTCTTCTCTCCCTATTCAAGATCTATCACAACTGCCCTTAAACATAAGGCTGCAAGGGCGAGACGTCAAGCAGAAAAGGGTAAAACAGGAACTCCTCGCTAAATGCTGGTTCTGTTGCCAGTGTCTCTGTGGCTCTCACACATACAGTGTCCCCACCTGCAAACTGGAATAACGCTATTTAGCTACACGGCAGGACACTGAGGATTTGCAGGCTGAAGTTTGTATCTGCACGCAAGTATTGTACCAAGTTTTTCTGTAGCTAAGCAGCTTTATAACAAAGTTATACAAAATCAGTGCAAGTGGACAGACAGTAGCACCGTGCTATCCTAGCTGCAGTTCCATCACACACAAAACTCCCCCCACAAAAACCAACCAGACAACAACATGTACTGAAACGCCACTCTGAGCTAGCTTTCAACGTAGAATATACTAACAATAACGGAACATTAAGCTGGACAAGAGGGAGGTCCCACAATGAAAATCTGCTGAAATACAGACCACCTAAGTGATTTGCAACAGAATAGTTCCACAGATTAATATTATAATCACAGCTTCAAAGGTCAAACAGGCAAGTTTGGGCACATGCATAAACAAAGCTGCGATTTCTGTAAACCAGACTCAAGGAGAGAATAGCCACACTAAACCAGACTGATAAGAACACTCTGTCATAACAAGCCACTGAAGATGATGCTAATTTTCATTGACTAGTGCTTAAACCAGTTTATCTTCAGGTAAAAGCAAAGGAGCCAAATAATCTAGCAGATAACGGCAAACTCCATCACCATTTCAAATGAGCATCTGGTTACTAATATCGAAAGCCACACTCCCTTCTCATGCCTCTGATCTCCCACTCCATCAGCTAATCTTTACAACGTATGAAAAATGAGCCCGTCGCAAGGAACAGCTGATACAGAGAGAATCGAATAACAAACAATGCATGTGCCGAGAGCTGACGCACCTAGAGTTATCGCTCTGAGGGAGATAATACAGAAGGCTTTTAATTATATCATCAAAGCAAGGGAGAAGGTACGAGGAGGGGCTGGCTGCAGACGGTTAAGTGTTAATGAATGCCGGGTTGGGTGGTTTATCAAAAGAAAAAGACTGGATATATATCTGAGAGGGTCACCGTTGAGATGAAAGTTGTAACAGCCATTGTTGGAGCTCTTTAATGAGCGAGGAATGTCAAATGCGAACCTTCTAAGAATCATACCAATTACTAAATGAACTTTGATTCAATCTAGCAAATGTAATCAAGCACAAGTCATTAAAATACATGGTAAAACTCCCATTGGCGCTGCCACTATAGCGTCTATTATTGTCTGTGCTCCCATGCAAGGGAGGGGGCTGTTCCCAGTTGTAAGCTCTGTGTGTTATGTTAAGTGATGGCAGATTTTAGCCCTAATGATGAGGCATGGAGGGCTCCCTGGCAGAAAGTGGACAATGAGGAGGCTCGGAGAGATCTGTGGAGAAGTCAGGGAAAGATCAGCAATTAAAAGAGCAATTTCAAAGAATGCAGTTTAATGTGTAAAATTAGCTTTTATTAGCACATAATTCCACAAAATCCTGACTGGGATGAGAGCGCATAAAGGTCTGCAAGAGTCCTTAGAAAGGTCTGTGCCCGTAATTCCTGACACGCCATTGTGAAATAATAAGCAGTACTAACAGGATTGATGCATGCTTCGTACATGGCATTGCTTTGAAAGTGGAGCCCAGAGCTTTTTTCTCCCTGATAACCTCTCTCAGGACTTCCTCCCTCAGGGAATTCAACCACTGATAGAGCAAACTTCCCTCGTTTAAAGGCAAAAAGATGGACAATTGTTTCAACTGTAAACTAATTAAGAGAGATTACCACCAAGAGCTGGAGGTTCAAACCAGCCCTGCACTCCCACTGACAGTGTGATAATGCCAGGCTGGGGTCAAAATCATAAATCTGAAGGGAGCACACACAATGCTTAAAGCCAAAAAGCCTCTCTACTAAGCATGGGATATTGCCACATTAACCTCACCA